TACTGTCAATATTAACAAAAGCTGAATTATCATATAAATCTCATTCACCAAAAACATAATATTATTTGTTACCCCTTATTAATGGGGGTTCTCATTGAGTTTTAGGTTGATAGGTTAAAAAAAAATTCTGCACTGTATTATAAACACACATTCACTTCTGTATTTGCTACATGTTGTTACCTAAATGTTCATAAATAAGCAATCAAGTCCCAACACTTAGGTGCTAGAAAGACTGTATATGAAATATTTTTTATTAAATTTATATTCTTTAGTTAAATGAATTCTTTCAAAAAAGCTGTCAATATGTCAATATAACATTTTGGTTTTTATAGGTCAATAAAAATGGCTCAACGAAAATTTTTTTTAACATAACTAGGCTCTCTAAACATTAAATAAAATTTCTAAAAGGTAACAATTGGGTATGCTTTTAGCAAAAATTCAATTTATACACCAACCCAATGAAACATACAAAACAAGATAATCAGCCATCTACATGTACTTGAAGTTAACATGAACATCATTAAATCTTTTAACTTCTCTAACATTTCACAAAAATATTTATCTAAATTTTAAAGTATACTTTTGTAGCTTTCAACATTATTCTTAACACAGGCACCCAAATTACAGTAACAAATTAATATATATACATCAACTAAGCTGATGGCCACATTATGGTAGGTCCTGGACCCTTTTCTTTAATATATTCTGTATAAATATATTGGCAGTATTTTTCCAAGCTTCTTTGGCCTCCGGCATTCTGCAGATTTGTGGTAGTGTATCACAGATATAGCCTTTAGGACAACAGTAAGTACCACTCTTACAGCAAACAGCCTAGAAGACAGAATTTACATGTTACATATATGAGTCTTCATCTCACAATATCAGGATAAGAGTTCTATGATATGAATTAACCCAAAGAAATATTTAAGAGCCATTCTCTGTAATGATTTGAAATTTTATATAGGAGCTGTGGCACGCATATTCTCAGAATTCCTCCAAACTCTCTATGATAAAAGTTATTGATACCCTAAACTGAAATCAGGCAAAAATTTGTTGCTATGCTTTATAGTTACCATGGCAACATGTCTTAAAGTTGGAAAAATGGCATTTTTTAACATGTTTAGAGCCCCATAGTTAACATTTGCGGCAAAGCAAACAATTGGCAATGACTGTTTCCAAAAGTTGAAGGTCAGATGTCTCAAATGCATGATAAAAATGTTTGGTAAATCAACTATTACATACGTTACTATGGTAACAAAGTATTCAAAAGTAAAAAAAAATATTCATTGAATTTTATAAACTCATACAAAAAATAAAAAGCAATTATAGGATGAAATGTGACCAAATAATAAAAAAAGAGCCTTGAAACATATACCAAGAACAAAATATGATATTTTATTTTGGTTGGCAATGGTTGCCAAGGTTTTTATACCACAGGGAGCCTTCAAAGTAACACTCTGTATGTTTAAATCTGATCCTATCTTTTTAAAAAAGCACATTTCCTCAAAACTAATGATCAATTTTATAAGATGTTGGTGTGCTCCAAGTTTTCCCATTTGAAAAAAAATCAGATTAGATTCTTTAAGTAGACCGTTGCTATGGAAATAAGCAGAAAATATATGCTTAAAAACCTGAAAAATATTTTCTTTCCTTGGATACGTACCCTTAAATGTAAATTCCCAAAACTTTAATGATTGATATTTATTAACAGCTAACTTGACTTTTAATTTTCACTATCATCCAATCTCTAAGTGGATGCAAGAAGTTGGTACACAGGGTTTAATATTGATATAAAGTTCACAAAATCGAACATTTTCCCTTCTTGGTAACCATAGCAACATGTTGTTTTATTTATCAAATTTTCTCAATATATGATATTCAACTTCAGTTCTAACAGATAAGTACTATTCAAGCTGAGTCCTTTAATTTGTTTCTTGATAAAATGGCAATTTTATTCTGAATGCAGCGAAAAAAAATTCACTTTTAAGCACTGGTACTTTGTTTCCATGGTAACACTGCAAAGTAGCAATTATACACAATTTTTCTATGGTGTTGGTGTTGCAAGGTCCTAAGGATGCATATTTGCCAGTCTTGAATTTTCATGTGTTTCCTCAAGACAGTAGCATTAACCCAATCTTAGTTACCGGTTTTGCATGGTTACGCTGTGTTACCATGGCAACCATAAAAATTACTTATAAAATGATATTGCTTATACTTATATACTTAAGGTCAAACATTTTCATCGTTTTTCTGAAGTCGATGATTGAGTTTGAACATGTAACACCTACCATTAGTGAATACGGAGTGTTTTTCAGCATATTTCAGCATTTTAAAAATATTCCAAATGTACCCTTGGTTACCTACTTTAGATATATTCTAAACAGTTTCTTTACAGTATAAGTGACATCAAGATGTCACGTTTTTGTGAGAATGGTTTGTTTGCTTTTTCTAGTTTTTATTAAGCCACAGTCAAGATTTAAAGTGGCTGAAAATCTCGATTTTTCAAACTTTTCCGGTTGTTTCCATAGCAACCGAGACACATAGCAACGAAATTTTGTTTGATATTTGTTTCTGGTGTCAAGTACTAAGCATGGGTGAAGTTTCATCAAAATCGGTGACCATGCGTGGCAACGAAGTTTAAGTGGTTACAGAGAATGGCTATTAACCTGCTCTCACTTCTGATGTTTTAGAGGTCCATGTTTGCTCTGCTCCTATTTTGTATTGATTTATGGACTTTTAATGCTTGAACACTGTTTGTTATCTCCTTATATTTCATTCATATATTTTTTATTAAAAATATAAACACAATCTATGATACTGAATACATAATGCAATATGCACAAAAGAGTTTTCAACTTTTAAATCATAATACTGTATCAAGCTGTATGTGTACTTTAAAATGTGGGCCTCATATTTTAGCAACTTTGGCACGGAAAACCATGTGCTAATTTATGAGTATTTTTTATTAATAATTATGCATTAGTCTGCAATGCTAATTCATAAATATGCCAACAACTCAATATCTAGCATTTGCACTAAATTTTGAATAAGCCCATTTATGCACATGTACAGTATACTATGCTGTTAATATCCAATATGAATACTGTACGAGGGGTTATCAAAAAGTTCGTGGACTAGCGCCATAAAATTAAAACCGCTTAAGGTACATCTATGAATTTTGAAATATATAGTTAGCATAATCTTTTCTATCAAAAGAATAAATCACAAATCTTGATTTTTATTTTTTGATAAATTAGTAAGGATTTTGTAGGCAATGGTATGTCCAGGTGGCGCAACCTCGAAAACGATGTTTTTTCGACCTATGTGTAACTGAGAAAAACTCATTTGACATGATTATTTGACATCCAATAATTCCGTTAATTCAGGTATGTGTCGGGACACAATTGTTTTATAAAATATGAAATTTTCACTTCATTCTGGAAGTTCTATGAAATTTTATCGTAAATTTTACACGGAATGTCCAAACAAATGAGGCCTTGAAAATGACGTCAAAAGGGGGGAGGGGTTTCCGTTTCCAACATTCTATAAAGTTTTGCCCCTGAAAAAATAGTATAGACCTAAAATATGTTGAAACTGGCTACAGAGAAATAAAATGCATCCAAAGTACTTGTCTTTTAATGTCAAAATAGATTCAGAGAAAAAGGGGATACACAGTTAATGTCGATTTGCAGTCAAGGTGGGAAAAATCAATCCCGTCAAAAATGACGTTGATCATGTGTTGTAGATATTGAAATCCCAAAAGCAAAATATTCCGGCACAATCAAGCGTGCATCTCTCCCAATGTATTAATCCATCTGAAATGTTATATTCATTGAAGGCCACAATTCATGACATTGTAAAGTCATATAAACAAGGTGGGTTAAAGTCCTCGCTCAGCTCCAGGAAATCTCATCAAAAAAGTGTATGAGGTATAAGAAGAGGACATTGAAAAAACAGTGACGTTATCGGACGTCATGAAAATAAACGACGACAGCGCCGGGTGATCATATAATGTTGTTTTCATTTTATAATAATTTGGCAAATAATGAACATATCAGACTAAAATTTTCAACATTTCCTTAGTTTGTGTTGCTTTATGTTCCATATCAATTTTGAAAGCGCAGACTACATTGTACTAATTTTATAGCCTCAGTCCACGAACTTTTTGATAACCCCTCGTATATTACTAATTTTTCGCGACACCTTATTTTTGTGAGATAGTCATTGACTCTTTATTAGCGAGACATAATTTTCACGAATTGTTGTTTTTCTTCTATATAATCGTAAGGAATACTTTTAAATGCGAGAATGAAATTTTCGTGAGCTCATTGTCTCGCGTAATTACGCGAAAATTAAGTTCTCGTGAATAAAGAGTGATTTACAGTAGCACTTTCTTTTTCATACCTTTTATAAAAAAAATTCTCCTTTTCCTGAACAAAATCCATTTTCGAATTTTTTGCCTACATAAACTTTTACAGTTTTTTTCAATATTCATATCATCTCTTCTAAGAAAAAATGACATGTTTTGAAAATTGGGAATGTTCTGACTCTAATGCTTTGTCAAATTTCATGTGTATATTAAAAATCAGGTTGAAAAGAATTCATGCTCACGTTATTATAGGCACAGCACCCAAATTTGCCTTCCTTATTTTTGCAGCATGTATTCTTGTCAGGACAGCTTGTAGTCTGATCAGGACAAACAACTTTATTTTTTGGTTTTATTTCTGTGTGATGTCTTTTTAGTGCAGGTTGTTTCTCAAACCAGTCCGTGACTAGACTGGATCCTCTTTTACATTTGCCTGATGACACTTCACATGTAGTCCCAGAAGGACAACAATGTTTACCATCACTACAGCAAACAGCCTAATAAAATACATTTCAAACGTTTTTCAAATGAACATTGATCAGGTAAGATAGATGTATATTCAATAACTAAAGTTCTTAAATAGAATTCTTACATTTGGTATAGGACAACACCCATATCCTCCACTAGACAGTTTACAGCAAGTCTGTCCAGTCTTACATTCATGTTGACCATCAGGACAAACCACATTCTCTGATCTTAACACAGCAGGTTGTTTCTCAAACCAGTCCGTGACAAGACTGGACCCTCTTTTACATTTGCCTGATGACACTTCACATGTAGTCCCAGAAGGACAACAGTGTTTACCATCACTACAGCACACAGCCTGAAAAACATATTTACACATGTTCTGTGAGATGTACTGATCATGTGTACATCATAAAGAATTGTTATACCCTTATAAATATCCTTCTATATATTATTACTAATAAAAAGTCCAACAAAAGAAATGTTTATTACATCGGTCTAACAATTTCACTGTTGACCGGTCTTGCATAAGAATTTTAGGCTGCAACGTCACTTTTACGTCACAAGTAATTAATCATCATTCAATATCGGCGACACAAATATAGCCGAAGTTAAGAGCTTCAAGAGTTGTTGCTAACAGCAAGGTAAGGAAGAAGGGAAGAGTATGTTTTGTGATAAATAATTTTTGTGATACAATAAATATATATTTGATTTTGTTCTTTCTCAGCTTGATGCTTTATTAACTGATTAAGCAATAATTTTCCATATACAGTAATATTGATAATATAGCATGTATTGATAAAATTGATCAATCTTAAGTGAGCAGTGAAGGGTATAACAAAACAGTTATAGACTGGGATTCAGGCAACATATGATTTGTTGGACCTGCAGGTGAAAACGTTGCCCTTCGCCTGCGGCCTCGGCAACATTTTCACCTTCAGATCCAACAAATCATATGTTGCCCTCATACCTAGTCAATAACTGCATAATGATTTGATTAAGTAAATAAAGGTTCGAAAAAGAAAACTTACATTTGGTACAGGACAACACCCATATCCTCCACTAGACAGTTTACAGCAAGTCTGTCCAGTTTTACATTCATGTTGACCATCAGGACAAACCACATTCTCTGACCTTAACACAGCAGGTTGTTTCTCAAACCAGTCCGTGACAAGACTGGACCCTCTTTTACATTTGCCTGAGGACACTTCACAAGTTGTCCCAGAAGGACAACAGTGTTTACCATCACTACAGCATACAGCCTGGAAAACATACATTTCAAACATTTTTCAATGAACATTGATCAGGTAACGCCAAAAAAAATTGATCAATAGTTTTTCAGGCACTGCTGCAGCAGGTAAAGACTGCAGCAGTGATCAATGAAGACCTGTCTTCATTTTTCTATACCACAGGTGCAATCTAAACCCTTAATTTGGTGGAATTTTTAAAACTAAGGTGTAATTTATTTCTTTTTCCTTGCTTAATTTCAAACTTTGATTCTATATAATCAAAACAAGGTGCTAATTTGTACACTATATAAAACTGATGTTAACATTTATGAAAGTCATTAAATTTTGTAAACCCTATGTTCTGTACATAAATTATATGCTCTTTGAAAAGGTTGAATATTTACATCTTAACATACCATCATGTCTTAAACCTCTAACGTCACATGGACATATTTGGTCAAAAGCTAGCCTATCACACCTACTTCAGTCTTACTAGTAGAATTAATAGCACATATACAGGGTAATTCTTTACAAAAGTTTCTGGCACATTTGCATCTTCCAAAATGCTGGGCATGTGCTGTGTGCCTAATTTGAAGACAATATTAATTTTGATAACCATTTTCTTTCTTGCCCATGGAGAACTGTAGCACAATGGCAATATGTAATAAAGATTTTTTGCAAGTTTCATTCAATTTCATTCAGTGGTATAATAAATTTCATTCAGTGGTATAAGAGGAGTTGCAGATCAGAGATTGGTTCCCCAAAGCATAACAGATGGATGGACAGACGAACGGACATACCAATTACTATAAACTCTCCAGCTTTTCAAGCTGGGGGGGGGGGTATGAAAATGTAAGAGAACAGAAATACTAAAAATCGGTTAAAATTTTTATTTTGTTAAATGACAGGCAAGAAAAAAATGGTATAACACTTGCCTAAAAAAAAAAAAAAAAAGAACCTCCCTGCCACCAGAATTATGAAATTTTTGGCCTTAGACACTATTAATTAAATTTTTTTAGGCTGACAATAATAAATAAAATGTATTCAATAACTAAAGTTCTTAAATAGAATTCTTACATTTGGTATAGGACAACACCCATATCCTCCACTAGACAGTTTACAGCAAGTCTGTCCAGTCTTACATTCATGTTGACCATCAGGACAAACCACATTCTCGGATCTTAACACAGCAGGTTGTTTCTCAAACCAGTCCGTGACTAGACTGGACCCTCTTTTACATTTGCCTGATGACACTTCACAAGTAGTCCCAGATGGACAACAGTGTTTACCATCACTACAGCACACAGCCTGAAAAACATATTTACACATGTTCTGTGATTAAAATTGAGGTGTACTGATCATGTGTACATCATAAAACAAGAGGCCCATGGGCCTTATAGGTCACCTGAGCATTATGCAACAACTTTCCAGTGATTGAATTTGATTCATGTTTTAAGCCAGATGCTATGGCATTCACAATTTTGAAAGAGGCATCAATGATCATCATAACTATACACTTAGCAGTTGCTTAGTTTGGTTACTTAATACCCATAGACAAGGCAGAGGAACAAAAATACATTTCAACTAATTAGTAATATTCAGCAATAATCAGTAGTGCCCCTACTACACATGAACTCCTGACCCTTAGGCCTAGATCCACACATTGCACAATTTTTGAAAAGGCATCCTTGTTTTTCAAAAATATTTGATTAATACCAAGGAGCAGAATTCAAACAATTCATTCATTTTCAGTCTATAAGTACAGCCCCCCCCCCCTATGGTTCCCCTGACCCTGGGTCCTTGAAATTCACAATTCTGGAAGCTAACGGTCCTTGTTCGTAACTATATAGGTAATTCAACTGCTTAAAACACAGGAGCAGAGAAGAAAATTTTCAAAGATTTTATGTATTTCACTATAATCAATAGAGCCCCCCCCCAACACCAGAACCCTGACCCTAGGGCCCTAAAATTCACAATTGTGGTAAAGGCACTCTTGCTCATTATAACTATATATTTAGTTAGTTTATTTAATACCTAGGAGCAGAGAAGAAGATTTTCAAAGAATTCATGAATTTTCACTACATAATCAATAGAGCCCCCCCCCCCCCAACACAAGAACTCCTGACCCTGAGGTCCTAAAATTCACAATTTCGGCAGAGGCACTCATGCTCATTATAACTATGCACTTAGTTAGTTTATTTATTACCTAGAAGCAAAGAAGAAGATTTTCAAAGAATTCATGTATTTTCACTATATAATCAATAGCCCCAGCCCCCCCCCCCCCATAGATGCTTTGTGCCAAATTTGGTTGAAATTGGTTGAGTAGTTGCAGAGAAGAAGCTTAAAATGTTCAAATGTTAACGCACAACGCACGACGACGTACGAAAACAGATAGCAATAGGTCACCTGAGTTTACTCAGGTGACCTAAAAAATGCTTTGACTAAGTAAATAAAGATTCGAAAATCAAAACTTACATTTGGTAATGGACAACACCCATATCCTCCACTAGACAGTTTACAGCAAGTCTGTCCAGTCTTACATTCATGTTGACCATCAGGACAAACCACATTCTCTGATCTTAACACAGCAGGTTGTTTCTCAAACCAGTCCGTGACAAGACTGGACCCTCTTTTACATTTGCCGGAGGACACTTCACAAGTAGTCCCAGAAGGACAACAGTGTTTACCATCACTACAGCACACAGCCTGAAAAACATAAATTTCTTTTTTTAAAAGGTATTTAAATCAATTTAAGAAGAAATAAACAAGGATTTCAAATGAAGGATGATGAATGATGCATGACTGAGATAAAGATTATGATATAAAATGTGACCTACATTTGGTAAGGGACAGCATCCCCATTGTCCACTAGCAGTTTTGCAGCAAGTCTGTCCATCTTTACATTCATGCTGACCATCAGGACACATAACACTTTCTGCCTTGACTACTGCAGGTAACTTCTGGAACCAGTCCATCAGTATATTGTCTCCCCTCTTACACTTCCCTGACGACACTTCACAAGTAGTTCCCTCGGGGCAGCAATGTCTCATGTCAGCACAGCACACAGCCTACAAAACATCAGCCAATGAAAATACAGCAATGCTTCATTTTAGTACTGATCAGCCAATGAAAACGCAGCAATGCCTCATGTCTGCACAGCACAGAGCCTTTACATTGTGTCACAAAAAACAGCAGCCAATGAAAACAGCAATGCCTCATGTCAGCACAGCACAAAGCCTGTGTAACAAAAATCATCAGCCAATGAAAATACAGCAATGCCTCATGTTAGCCAAGAAAATGCAATGAGACTTCTAATCAGCAATGAAAAAATAAAAAAGTTTCATTTTCACATCACAAAATTTCTTTTTATCTTCAATGAGCTGTTTATATTGAATAAAATATGTTTCAATAAAAGAATAAAATTGCTTTACCTATACAGCTCCATGTAGCTATTCAGATAATTTTTATTTCACAGGATAATTTTCACAAAACAGTTGCCACAGCAACCTTTATTAAACACAATCATAAAATTGTTTACCTTAGGCAGGGGGCAGCACCCATATTTTCCACTGGACAGTTTACAACATGTCTGCCCTGTCTTGCATTCTGATTGGCCATCAGGACATTCAACATTTGCTGTTAGAGGGGTCAAGGGATGGGATTCCTGGGATTTCCCCTCTTTTATCTGGACCATGTCCATGCTGATGATCCCTAGACTTTCCCCATGCCCGATACATTTCTGTTCCTGCAGGTCACACCTTGTTCCTTGTGGGCAGCAGTGGATATGATCTGAACAGCAGACAGCCTGTTAAATGGAACAGATCTTTGTGCTACATTTGTTCGTTTGTATGTTGATAACATTCCAGGTGCTATGTACTTAAATTCACCTTCTTTGCGCAGAACTTTATGTCATTTTCACATAATTATCTATGGCAGTCATGTAGTCAGCTCGAGAAAATTTGTTTATCTAGAAGATATTGTGACAGATACTTCAAATACTATGTAGGTCCTATGATTTATTACTTTTACAAATCAATGATATTCAAGATAAATTTCCACTTGTATATATTTCATATATTGCTGATTAAGAAAACATACGTCCTGGATTGGGCAGCAGCCATATTTGCCACTGGTTAACAAACAACATGTTTGCCCGTCCTTGCACTCTGAGGCACCGTCAGGGCACATGACAGAAGATAGAAGACCTCCCTGTGGAGGTTTGGTGACTGGAAGCTGCTCGATCAAGTGGAGCTCCAGACTGTCACCCCTTGTACACTTCCCAGAGGAGACTTCACACTTCGTATTCTGTGGGCAGCAGTGTTTGCCATCACTACAGCATACCGCCTGAAAAAAGATCACTACAGCATACAGCTTGAAAAAATCATCACATTATACAGCCTGAAAAAAACATTATACAACCTGACTTAAGATTGCTACATCATACAGCCTGAAAAAAGCAAAATGTAAATTACACTGTACAATTAAATTTTTATGTTCTAAATCCAACTGCTGATAATCTGGCTAGAATTTAATGCAACAGAAAAATATCTTTATTAGGCTCAAAAAAAAAAATTAATCTTTACCAGACGTTTCTCAGTATAAAAATTTCAAAATCCCAATTTCGAGACAGGTTCTTGGAATTATTTTCCTTTTTCAATTTAATTGATCCTTGCAGAAGTTTTTGACCTGATGCAGATGTGCCAGAAAAGCCAAAGATAATATTTCCAGTTTCAATTTAAGAAAAGCTTTTAATATCTTATTTGTCTGATAATTTTTTTTTTTGTTCAGTAAAATAGTTGAAAATAATTTATAATTTTATAAAACAGAAACTCCCCAGGTCTACAACCTCTTTAGATAACATTAGTGGTTTTAATGATTTCAAAATATAAAAAAATGCTTCAAATATAATGTATCTCTAACATAGATTTATTGGTTGCAATTTCTTTCTGTAAATAGAAAGATATAACACCACTTAATATAGAGAAAATAATCATATACACTGAAGTCAATAGTAAAGATTTGTTGAAAATCAAAACTTACATTTGGTACAGGACAACACCCATATCCTCCACTGGACAGTTTACAGCAAGTCTGTCCAGTCTTACATTCATGTTGACCATCAGGACAAACCACATTCTCAGATCTTAACAGAGCAGGTTGTTTCTCAAACCAATCCATTGTCAATTGGTTCCCTCTCTTGCACTTTCCGGTACCAGTATCACAGGTCGTGCTTTCTGGACAGCAGTGTTTACCATCGCTACAGCAGACTGCCTGATTAAAGAATAATTAGGAATAACAAAATATGAAGAACAGTAAGAACAGTATTCCAGCTCAAAGAACATTTAAACATAAATCATGAGCAGAGAAAACACAGATCTCCAAAAACATCAGAGGCAGGATTAGATGCCACGGAGAAGTAAGCATCCCCTGTCAATTGGCCACACCTACTATGTGCTTGTCATGGTCGGGTTAATGGAAAAATCTTTAGAAGTTTCAGAATAAATAGCGGCCTATATAGCTAGCAATTAGTATGAAAAATGTCGGTCTGCATTAGACCTAATGATATACATGTATTGTATTTGCTGATTAGGTCAATGTTTTGACAATAGAACTTACAAAAAAGATGACTTCAAATGAGACTGTTGATATCCTAATTTCATCAACTTTTTGGTTAATGGCTAGCCTCATATAAAAAATTGATTGTACATAACAGTGATGTATGTATATGTGCTTTAGAGTCTAAAAAGAGGCTTTAATGAATACACTTTGTAATGAATAATTATACAAATCCTTTTGAACTACCAAGATAAAATTTACCTTTGGTAATGGACAACACCCATATCCTCCACTGGACAGTTTACAGCAAGTCTGTCCAGTCTTACATTCATGTTGACCATCAGGACAAACCACATTCTTGGATCTTAACACAGCAGGTTGTTTCTCAAACCAGTCCATGACTAAATGAGACCCTCTTTTACATTTCCCTGAGGACACATCACAAGTTGTTCCTTCTGCACAGCAGTGTTTACCATCACTACAGCACACAGCCTGAAAAAAGAAACATATAATTATGTACAGTTCATCAAATAAATAAAAATACTGTATAAGCAGAATTTTTAGCAAGGATTTAATTATAGCATTATTAACCTGAGATTGCTAAAATTTAATATCGCTAAATTTAATTGCATTTTATTTGTAATAGCTTCTTTAGTGAAGTTTTCAAATTCGCTAAAAATAAAATACCAATTTTAAAGGACAAATCGTTAAATTTGCGTCACGCTAAAATTTCTACTTACAAGGTAATTATAGTCAAACTTTGTAGTCTGGAGCTCAATGGGACAAATAATAACTGTAGACATTTTACAGAAGCAAATCAATACTTAAACCAGAAGCTTCAATGAATTGTATGACTTTTTCTGGATAAAGCCAAATGCTTTTAAGTCAATATTATCATTAATTACTTTACAATATAGTGTCAATCTCTTCATTTGTTTGCAAAATTAGATCAATTGGTTAACAATTATATAGTTCCTTAACAAATAGCTTGTTAACAGTTAGATAATTAATTATTATAAGCAATTAGATTAGCTACTTAACAATTAGATTTGTTAGTAAACATTTGGTTTAGTTGGTTAACAATTTGTTGCTTTACATATAATGATTTCTATGTGTGCCCTCTCCAAAATTAGAGGCACTTTAGGTCATCTGACTTTGACAGCATGGCATTGTGGATAATACAAAACACGCCAATCTCAATCCAATTTTACATGTTTAATGTATTTGTCATTCCAACTAAAGAATAGAAGAACTAAAAGACATATGTAAGAGAGCACGAACCTTAAATTTATCATCCATTAAATACAAAAATATATACATTTCCGAGGCATGTGTATTGTATTTAAATGTACCACAGGATGAACAGATACATACAATCAACAATAAAATATAAATTGATATTGTTGTCATTCCTACTCTTGATGTATCTAAATTCCACAACAATAAAATATTTCATTTACATTCCTACTCTTGATGTATCTAAATTCCACAACAATAAAATATTTCATTTACATTTCGTTCTGATTTGTTCATCAACAATCTATATATTGTATAATTATACATGTTTATGTTACCTTTGTCTGAGAAACCCCATGAGATTTGTATATTTTCTGGCTTTTTCACAAAAGACCACATGAAGAAGTATAAACTCTTCCATAGTGGAAAAAGAATGTATTAGAATTAATTATTATACCTCTACTTATTTTTCCCTATATAAAAAATAGATAGTAAAATGCGAATAATTCCCTAGAAATAACTGTGAACAGACTAATCTCTGTGTGTTAGTCAAATAAGCTAATCCCTGCTTCGGAAGCTAATTCCTGGTTATCCATAATCCTCTACATTTTACTTTTGTATCGGTATAATATGTAATTGGACTAATCTCTGTGCGTTAGTCAAGTGAGCTAATCCCCGCTCCGAAAAGTTAATTCCCCATCATTTGTAATCCTCCATTTTTTTTTTACTTTTGTAATGGTATAATAAAACAGTTAAAAACTGTGCTGCGCATTGGGAAATAGTCCTGGCCTTGGGGAACTGGAATCTTGCTAACTTCCTCAAGGATATACTTGAACTGTATGATAAGTCGATTTACAAATGGATTAATTGGTTAAGATTAGATTCTTTAGTTAACATTTGCACATCCTTAGTTTCACTTGTGTATTTTGTATTTGGGTTAAATTTTTATTTTCATTGTGAATCTCAGACATAATCCAACAAAATTGCACACAGAGTATTGGCATTTGCAATATAAATTGCTATTTGTACAGTATAAAGTTTAACTTTCTACAAACTAACCTTTGGTAGAGGACAGCATCCATACTGTCCACTGGACAATTTACAGCAAGTCTGTCCTGTCTTGCACTCTGACTGACCATCAGGACAAACAACTTTCTCAGATCTTAACTGAGCAGGTTGTTTCTCAAACCAGTCTGTGACTTGACTGGACCCTCTTTTACATTTGCCTGAGGACACTTCACAAGTAGTCCCAGAAGGACAACAATGTTTACCATCACTACAGCACACAGCCTGAAAAAAAATAAACATGTTCTGAGATTAAAATAGAGGTATATCGAGCATGTAGATATCATGAAGAAATGTTTTTACTAAGTAAATAAAGATTCGAAAATTTAAACTTACATTTGGTACAGGACAACACCCATATCCTCCACTAGACAGTTTACAGCAAGTCTGTCCAGTCTTACATTCATGTTGACCATCAGGACAAACCACATTCTCGGATCTTAACAGAGCAGGTTGTTTCTCAAACCAGTCCGTGACAAGACTGGACCCTCTTTTACATTTGCCTGAGGACACTTCACAAGTAGTCCCAGAAGGACAACAGTGTTTACCATCACTACAGCACACAGCCTGAAAAAAAAATAATTCACTTCCAATCTTCATATTTCATCATCGTAATAAGAGCCGTCCTATAAGGGAGATACCTAGAAGTCATTGGGCCACAGTGTTTACCTGAGTTACTTTGACCCTGCTGGTCTTCACCACATTCAGTTCTTGAGAAGAAGTTGAAAATGTGAAAAATTTACAGATAGACAGCTAGACAGACAGACATATGACAAGCAACGGGTGATCAGGAAAACTCAGATGAGCTTAAAACTGCCCTTTACAATGGGGAGATAAGTATTGCCATATACTAAGGAAGCAAAGAAAAGTTCTCTCTAATGAGAGATACGAATGGTCCTAAAGAAGAAAACAAGTGTCCTTTGCTTGAGGTGTTTTCAAAGAGCTATCCTCTGCAATCTGCATAGAGAGATAGCACCCCTTTTTTGTTGAGGGATATACACAATGTATGGTTACCCCTTCTAAGGGCAATAAATTGAAAATATTTTATGACTTTAATTTTTTTTATTTTCTTTATCAAATTTTCCTTTGATTCAAATTATTATTCCAATTTAGACAGAAAAACCTCCTTTTCCCATATTTTGTGAGAAAATTATGTAAATAATTAATACACAAAAACAAATAAGGTTCATTTTTGCTGATTCGAAAGAAGAATTTAAAGTTCAAAACAAGTATACATGTTCACTTTTAATCCCCTTCAGTACATGTTTCATATTTTATTAGAGTATTTTGTAAGGACTGCAATACACGTAGCCATTTTCTTACATTTGGTATAGGACAACAGCCATATCCTCCACTGGCCAGTTTACAACAAGTCTGTCCAGTCTTACATTCATGTTGACCATCAGGACAAACCACATTCTCTGATCTTAACACAGCAGGTTGTTTCTCAAACCAGTCCGTGACAAGACTGGACCCTCTTTTACATTTGCCTGATGACACTTCACAAGTAGTCCCAGAAGGACAGCAGTGTTTACCATCACTACAGCACACAGCCTGAAAAAAAAAATACAAACATGTTCTGGGATTAAAATAGAGGTATACTGATTATGTGAACACAATAAATAAATGGTTTTACTACGTTAATTAAGGTTAGAAAGTCACCCACATGGCACAGTATTTTGAGTGTCTGCTCTAGAGTCACCAAGTAAGGAGTCAATCCTTAAGTCACAGGTTTGAGTCCCACTGTGGGACATGGACAGTGGTCCTTTAGATGAGACCATGTAAACCGAGGTCCCATGTCCCAGTAGGTGCTGGCATGAAAAAGATCCCTCACTGCTCAATGCCCATGAATGCTGACAAAATATACAGCTGGCAAGTGGTGGTGTCTCCATATGAGTGAAAAAATCTCCAGAGGGATGTTAAACAATTTAAAAAAAAAAGTTTAGAAGTTAGAAAATTTAAACTTACATTTGGAACAGGACAACACCCATATCCTCCACTGGCAAGTTTACAGCAAGTCTGTCCAGTCTTACATTCATGTTGACCATCAGGACAAACCACATTCTCTGATCTTAACAGAGCAGGTTCTTTCTCAAACCAGTCCATTGTCAACTGGTTCCCTCTCTTACACTTTCCGGTACCAGTATCACAGGTCGTGCTTTCTGGACAACAGTGTTTACCATCGCTACAGCAGACGGCCTGATTATATCAAATAGAATACAAAAATCATTTCTAATAAAATGCAAACATTCATATCCCATTCATAATAAATTTTAAACTTCATAATAAGTATTGTTGCTGCATTGATAAGAATTTAAGTGCTATGTAAATTGTACACTCTTGCATCATGTATAAATTTTGTTTGAAATTATTTTTTAAATTTTCACCGTGTTCTTTTACACACAATGATTTATTCAATTGAAATAGAATCTAAAAGAGAGATTTAATCAATTCAGGTTCACATTATTAATTTTTTTTATTCATAAATTTTGATTTACCTTTGGTAATGGACAACACCCATATCCTCCACTGGACAGTTTACAACAAGTCTGTCCAGTTTTACATTCATGCTGACCATCAGGACAAACTACGTTCTCTAACTTCAGTGAAACTTTCTATGCAAAAAAAAAATTACATTTTCTTATGAAGAGTTTCATTTTTTCAGTAGGTACCATGCCAATTAAAATACCATATGATTACCTGTGAACATGACCAGTGTACACTTGTGCAACAATAAACTTGATGACTTACCAAATCACTGTCTTAACGCATACAAATACAATCATTTCCAGGTCACATTTGAGTCAAAATGATTTCTCTATTAGTATACAAAATTTGGGTCGTGTTGGGATGGTGTGGTGTGGAGGTAAAACATTATGCTAGTTATAAATAAACACTCCAAATAAAAAAATTGCCTTGATTACCGGTAATTTTTTTAAAAAATTACATTTCATTCTGATTTGACAACGAAACATTTTACGGTACCTCTTTCTAATCAATTTTATATTGTTACTGCAAGTGACATAAAATTGTTTCCGAAGCGACACTACACTGAAATGAACATGAAGAACAAAATCTGATGCCCACCACCTTTTCTCTGACCTGGTTGTACACGTAGGTTAAGGATTGGATGAGACCCCCTTTATGACACTGGGACGTGGTTATATTACAGATGTATCCCATCGGGCAACAGTGGATTTTATCGCTACAGCATACAGCCTAACAAAATGAAAAATCGCAATATTGATGCAAATTTGACTAAAAAAAAAAGAAGAAAAAACACAGATGAACTCAGTCAATAAATTTCATCTCTAAGTAAAGCATAATTCCACACAAAACTAACTAACTAGAAGAGTGCATCTCCAGTTGAAGCCTTTAAGCAATTTGGTCCCAAATTGGAAATTAACTTTGTCTGAAAACTGAAAACTGTTCAATCATCCAGAAAATGTATGTCAAATCCAAGCAAGCCTCATATAATGTTCATCATTTGATGCATCATCCACCCCAGTTTGGTCTACATAGGGCTTAAATTGAAGTAACATTGGCCAGAATTAACCTGCATTACAAACATCATAAACTTTAACCTGCTCACTCATCATGCTCATACGGAAAATGGGAGTCAAATCAGCATCTGAACAAGACTGCAGAGAGTGTTCATTCTATGAATTTTCATTCTTGTAAGTATGGTACAAAAAGATACTGAGGTTATATTGGTATGAGTAAGCTAAAAATACTTTAACCTGGGTTAAGCATCTGGAAAATTTAGATCAAATCCAGCATTCAAAAAGTCTTGTAATATGCATCCCTTGATGCATCATCATGCAAGTTTGCTTTTAATTAGTTACTGTTTCATCATATCATGTTCATGGTAATAGACCTGGTTCAATCAATTGATGCTGAAAAGTATATGTTAGATCAAGTGTCAATTATAATTAAAGCAAGGTGAATAGCTTAAATCAACAAGCTAATTCAGAGAACCTGTATCCCCTTTAAGGAAATTAAAAGAAGAGAATGTCCTGAAGGGGGGGGGGGTGCTGTCAGAGTCGAGGTGGGTGGGGCATTTTAAGAAGGGCGGGAGGGGCCATAGGGAGTTATGGTATAAAATTCATTTGCAAATTCTCAAAAGCTTCTTGAGATATCGCCTTAGAATGAAAGTTTTACATATGCACTCAAAGAATGTATGAATTTATGACCTTGACCTTAGACCTATTGACCTCAAAATAAACAAGGCTTTTCCTTAGGCCATGGGAGTGGTGGTATAAAATGTCCTTGCAAAAGCTCAAAAGCTTCTCAAGATATTGCACGGAAATGAAAGTGTTGATAGAGAATTTTTAAATTAATGATCTTGAAAAACTAGCATATACCAGTATCAATATTTCTAAAGATAATATAGAGCAATAACCACAATTCGTGATAAATTTTGTCTCTCCAATAAAGAAAGAATGGCTATCTCATGAAAATTGGGTCTCACAAAAATTTAGTGATCTACAGTAACCAAAGAAATATCTAATCACAAAGAATTAACTAGATGCTGTCATGAGACAGTAATACCCGCACTAAGGTGTTTGCCTCTAAATACACGCTCCTACATATTGGGCGGCTTTCCAAAGAAATAGTCAAAATAATTCTATAATTTACATGTATTCATCAAAATTGAGTATGAAATTCTCAGACCATGTGACCTATAACTCAGAACCTCTTATATTTATTTTTATACATGTTTAATTCATTATATACCAGTCTGAATTTTATTAATGATGTAAATTCATGCACGGATCTGTGATTAATGATGTAAATTCATGCACGGATCTGTGTGTGGGGGGGGGGGGGTCAGGACCCCCCCCATGGAATTTACAAGGTTAAAAAATGTATATACTAAAACAAGGAAAAAGTTACAATGGACCCCCCTTGGAAAATGCAGATCCCCCCTGGTAAACACGAATATGTGTAAAATAAGTATGAAAAGTTAAACATTTGCGGCAATAGAAGTCACCACTACTCCCACCCTACCCCCCACGATATAGGTTTTTGACGTTTGGGTGAGATTTACTTTAGGGTTTTTTTTTGATTGTCAATTTCTGGGATAGGATTTTTTTTTGACTGAGGTCAGGACCCCCCCCCCCCCCCCCCCCCCCCCCCGGAAAAAAATTTCTGGATCCGCGTCTGAAATTAGATTTTGATATATGTTTTGCTCATAATAGGACCTTTTTAGATTTACTAACCCCCCCCCCCCCTCGACACCACAATCACACGGCACATACTTTTTGGAATAGGCTAGATGGAAAAGGTTTGTTAAAATTTAATATCGTTTGTTATGAATTAATTTAAAATTTGTTCTTGTACTATACATGTGAACATGTAAATTTCTACCTCACATCACGTTGCGTCACCCATTATCATATTTATAGATTAAACACCATTTGGCACACCTCGGCCGATTCCCACTTCATCTGATAAGGTGATGGAATCGACGAAGGTTCGCCAAAATGGCACATGGCTGCAGTCTGGTGTGCATTGGATTAATTCATTTTGAGTTATAATTGGATTTATATTTCATGAAGTTGAGACACAGGGAGTCGGTAAGTAGAAGTTTTAGTATAGTGGGGGGTAAAATACACCCAAACTATTAGGTTAAAGTTTAAAAAGGGTGAAAGATCATCGCATGCCACACTAGACGAATTTCATATTGTGAAGTTATCTCCCGTTGTCGATGTGACATTCAGTTACTGCCAATACTGGTGCGGATCCAGAATTTTTTTCGGGAGTAGGGAGGGGGGTTCACATCTCAGTCAAAAAATTCCAGCCCAGAATTTCGTGACAAGCAGGAGAAAAAAAATGAAAACAAATAAACAAATAAAAAAACAATGATAGTGAGGTCCATGTTTTCTAAGTTTATAGGGAGAGGATGTCAAGAGTCATTTTTTACTTGCTACAGTATATAGTCTTGTTTAAATAACAAAGCAAATGCCAGATGGGGGGGGGGGGGGGGGATGGGGGGGGACTCCAATCTTCCTACCCACTTCCTGTCCCTGAAATAACAATGTATTTTGTTATTCCAGTTAAATAGTATATTTTTTTCCATTTGACTAATTATTATACATATTTTGTTTCTTGTGTTTATAGCATGTCTGTCTATAAGTCTGCAGAAATTAAATCCTAGCTAGCTTGCCCATAAGTTTTAAGTTGGATGGGCTATACAAATAGCTTCCACATTTTATAGGTTTATTTCTTGTGACAATTTAATAAGACCTTTTATTTGGGTACCATTAATTTTTACCTCTGATCGATTGACATGGGATACACATTTTTACAAGAAAAATACCAAACTTTAAACTCTGCCTAAATTTTGATCAGTAGGTGCTAGGGCTTTCATACTTATGACATATTGTATTCATTGTGAACTGTCAACAGGTATAAATATGTTTGACCTTGACCCTAGAGTTTGAACCACTTAAACAAAAAAATTAACCTTGGCAATTAACTTTTGAACAGGAATTACTAGGGATTTCTTTATTTCACATGTGCATTCCTTGTGACAAGACTTTCTTCTGATACTAACAATTTGAACCCTTTGACCTTGACCTTTGATTTTGACATATATTTGAGAAACTAATCAACCTTCGCCATAGGCTTCCATACTGGGACATCAGTGTTTCACAAACACATCTTATCTTCATTATTATTTGGTGGTGTCTCCATATGAGGGAAGATGTATTCACAACAAACAAACAAATCACTAAAGAAAATATAAAACATGAATATGTTGGTCATGCATATCTCTGCAGGAAAAAAAAACAGCTTTTCAAATACTCCAACCATATTGTAACCCTTTCAAAACACTCATTTGAGCTTTTTTGGTTTCCTTAGCATATAATGTCTGTCGTGACGTGTTGTCCATCTGTTTGTCTGAAAACTTTTTACATTTTTAACTTCTCTAGAACCACTGGGCCAATTTTACCCAATTCATATAGAAATATGTACATTTGTATGTCAGACTCAGTCCATCTGTCTCAATAAATTTAACCTTGGTTATCATGGTCATATCTACTGAATGAGAAGAGACATTCATATTAAACTTATGTATTAGTATATTTACCTGTGAGAATGGCATGGTTTTTTTTTTTTACATGTGACCTTGAAGTTTGACCAACTTGCAATAAAAATTAAATTGTTATAAATTCATCATTTTGAAAGAGAAAAGTTAGGGCATTCATATCATAATGCATGTATATTATTACCTGTGATAAGACCTTTCCAAATAAATCATGACTTTTACACTGTGACCTTGACCTTGAAGCGATCAAGCCTAACCTACTTTTCAAAAATGTTGCATTTGCTTATAACTTTTGATTGAGATGAGATATGACTCTCACATTTGACATGTACATAAATTACTCATAAGAATTCAAGGTGTTTCCCAGCATGCGATGTTTTTTTATGCGCCCGAATTTTTTCGGGGCCCTTATTGTTTTTGTCCTGTCTGTTTGTCTGTTTGTCTGTTTATCTGTTTGTCTGTTGTCAACTTTAACCTTGGCCAAAACTTTTGAACCGTAAGAGATAGAGACTTCATATTTGGTATGCATACTCCTCTAATAAAGTTCTTTCAAATGACATCAAGGTCAATGACCTTGTGACGTTGACTGTGACCTATATGCTAAAGATAGGTTTTTCAACTGTTTGTCATAACTTTTGAACCATAAGAAATAGAGACTTCATAATTAGTATGCATACTCCTCTAATAAAGTTCTTTCAAATGACATCAGGGTCAATGACCTTGTGACCTTGACTGTGACCTATATGCTAAAAATAGGTTTTTCAACTGTTTGTTATAACTTTTGAACCATAGGAGATAGGGACTTCATATTTGGTATGCATACTCCACTAAAAAGGTTCTTTCAAACAACACCAAGGTCAATGACCATGTGACCTTGACTGTGACCTTTATACTTAAAATAGCTTTTTCCACTTTTTGCCATAACCTTTGAACCATAGAAGATAGGGACTTCATATTTGGTATGCATACTGCACTAATTAAGTTCCTTCAAATGACATCAAGGTCAATGACCTTGTGACCTTGACTGTGACCTATATGCTAAAAATAGCTTTTTCCACTTTTTGCCATAACTTTTGAACCATAAGAGATAAGGACTTCATATTTAGTATGCATACTCCACTAATAAAGTTCTTTCAAACAACACCAAGGTCAATGACCATGTGACCTTGACTGTGACCTTTATACTTAAAATAGCTTTTTCCACTTTTTGCCATAACCTTTGAACCATAGAAGATAGGGACTTCATATTTAGTATGCATACCCCACTAATTAAGTTCCTTCAAATGACATCAAGGTCAATGACCTTGTGACCTTGACTGTGAACTATATGCTAAAAATAGCTTTTTCGAACTCTGTTGACGCCGGGCGCATAGTGTTTCACAAACACATCTTGTTACCCCTTGACGTTGATGTTTTACATAATTTTCAAAATATTTAACTCTCCTAAAAGATGATTAGGCTTCTGAGTAACATTAAGGAAGACTTCAAGGAAGACAGGGCTTTTTGCACAAAAAACGTCATTTTTCAACCCACATTTGACCCCCCGGGGCAAAATCTAAATTCCAAAACCTTACTGCACATCTACATGACCCCACCAACCATCTCCCAAAAGATGATTAGGCTGCTGAGTAAAATGTAAGAGGAGTTCAGGGAAAACAGGGCTCTTTGTATGAAAAACGTTATTTTTCGACCCCCATTTGATCCCCTGGGGCAAAATCTTAATTCCGAAACCTTACTGCACATGTACATGACACCACCAACCATCTCCCAAAAGGTGATTAGGCTGCTGAGTAAAATGTAGAAGGAGTTCAGAGAAGACGGGACTTTTTGCACAAAAAACGTCATTTTTCGACCCCCATTTGACCCCCCGGGGCAAAATCTAAATTCCAAAACCTTACTGCACATCTACATGTCACCACTAATCATCCCACAAAAGATGATTAGGCTGCTAAGTAAAATATAAGAGGAGTTCAGGGTATATGGGGCTTTTTACATAAAAAACCTCATTTTTCGACCCCCATTTGACCCCCCGGGGCAAAATTAAAATTCCGAAACCTTACTGCACATCTACATGACACCACCAACCATCCCCCAAAAGGTGATTTGGCTGCTGAGTAAAATGTAGAAGGAGTTCAGGGAAGACGGGACTTTTTGCACAAAAAACGTCATTTTTCGACCCCCATTTGACCCCCCGGGGCAAAATCAAAATTCTGAAACCTTACTGCACATCTACATGACACCACTAATCATCCAACAAAAGATGATTAGGCTGCTAAGTAAAATGTAAGAGGAGTTCAGGGAAGATAGGGCTTTTTGCATAAAAAACGTCATTTTTCGACCCCCATTTGACCCCCCGGGGCAAAATTAAAATTACGAAACCTTACTGCACATCTACATGACACCACCAACCATCCCCCAAAAGGTGATTTGGCTGCTGAGTAAAATGTAGAAGGAGTTCAGGGAAGATGGGACTTTTTGCACAAAAAACGTCATTTTTCGACCCCCATTTGACCCCTCGGGGCAAAATCTAAATTCCAAAACCCTACTGCACATCTACATGTCACCACTAATCATCCCACAAAAGATGATTAGGCTGCTAAGTAAAATGTAAGAGGAGTTCAGGGTATATGGGGCTTTTTACATAAAAAACATCATTTTTCGACCCCCATTTGACCCCCCGGGGCAAAATTAAAATTCCGAAACCTTACTGCACATCTACATGACACCACCAACCATCCCCCAAAAGGTGATTTGGCTGCTGAGTAAAATGTAGAAGGAGTTCAGGGAAGATGGGACTTTTTGCACAAAAAACGTCATTTTTCGACCCCCATTTGACCCCCCGGGGCAAAATCAAAATTCTGAAACCTTACTGCACATCTACATGACACCACTAATCATCCAACAAAAGATGATTAGGCTGCTAAGTAAAAAAACGTCATTTTTCGACCCCCATTTGACCCCCTGGGGCAAAATCAAAATTCCGAAACCTTACTGCACATCTACATGACACCACCAATCATCCCCCAAAAGGTGATTAGGCTGCTGAGTAAAATGTAGAAGGAGTTCAGGGAAGACGGGACTTTTTGCACAAAAAACGTCATTTTTCGACCCCCATTTGACCCCCCGGGGCAAAATCAAAATTCCGAAACCTTACTGCACATCTACATGACACCACCAACCATCTCTTAAAAGATGATTAAGCTACTGTGTAAAATGTAGGAGGAGTTCAGGGAAGAAAAGTGTGACAGACGGACGGGCGGACGGACGGACGGACATGAGTAACAACAATATACCCGAACTTTCTTTAGAAAGTGCGGGTATAATAATTATATATACAGGGTGAAATATGAATAAAAACCCTAGCTCCTACCAAGCTTACAGTTTCTGTGGAAAAACAGACAGTTACTGACTTACTCCCAAATCTTCAACTAGGGCGAATAAAAATGCTGAACCTAACATCATTCTAGGCAATGTAAATTTTTAGAATGATTCCTCTCAAATGTTCAAGGTAATGTATATATCATAAATTAACCTTCCTCCATTTTGTTTTCAATGATAATGCTGACACCACATGAAAGAGAATTCATCTGTAACTATCCCAACCTTTTTGTACATGACATGTAAATTAGCAATTTTATCAATGCATCATCAGATCATCATCACGAAAAGTCATTTCTCAAAAACTTCCTGTTCAACATGTTCAGGAAGCTATAAAACTTCACCTATTCACATTATTTTGTTTGTATATTAATTCCTGAACTGAAAGGAATTCCCAAGCTTTATTTCAAAAAGGAAACTATTAACAATGAATTCAACAATTTCACTTTCAAAAAATAAGATCCTGTTATCAACTTTTATTAGCTCTACTTAGCAATGTGATGACTCCTCCAAAGAAAAATAAATAGCTATCTAGAATATATTTAATAGATAAATTTATAGGACCTTGTTTATTTAAATAAATAGTATATATCAAGTAGATTTCTTACTCTTTATACCCTTTACAACTTCCTTATTTTCTTAAGCATTACTGTTGGTGTACTCACTAGAAAGTCTGAAGGGGCCCAAGGACCTACCTTTCCCCCTTTTTGTGACATTTTTTTTTTAGAAAAGTTAAGGGCATACGTAACACAGTTTTGAGCATAAATTACTGGTAATGAATGCTGATTTTTTTGTGTAAGAACATCTCATATTACTGCAATTTAAAATTGAGAATATCTATAAAAAAAAAAAAAAAAAAAAATTATCAGTGGGAAAGGTACATGGTAATGTTTGTGTATATGTAAGATGTGAATGTCTTTTAATTAATCAATTTTAAATTCATGGATATTGCAATTTATCAAACAATTAATGTTTGTTTATATTACCATGATTACCTTACCTGCAGAACTGTAGCATAATGGTTTATATTTAAGTCTTTGAACATTACATAATGCTACAGATTCTGTATTGAAATGTAGCCTTCCAAGTTTATACCAGTAAAAAAGTCATATTCACACCGATTCTAAATTTTAATCCGAAGATTCCAACATGTCATATCGATGAGTTTGACTACAAAAAACAATGAAATAACAATATAATGCATGCGTACTATACATGAGTTATTTTTCCTGAATTATACATAAATATCTTTACTATAATTCCTATAATTCCTGTATTATAAATTCTGAAGTTCTAATAAGATTTGAAAGATAAAAATATACAAAATAGCAAGATTGAGTATTACTTTCGTTACGTACTGTACATTGTGAACACATGGGTATGTTTACACTTCAATATTCAAAGTTATGCAAAATAAAGTAAAAATACTTATGCAAAATATACTCAAGACATTGTTTAAATTAAATAAATACATACCAAATTTGTTAGACACTGGTATACTAGTCGTACAGAATAACAAACAATAGGCTACAAAAAATCGTGCCTTCCATGATTCGACTTCCGAGATGTACAAAGAAAAACCGTAGCTAGGTAAACCGTAAAATTCCGGATTGGCCGTTACATACTGCCCCCTTAATTGGGTTTCCACAAAAACACAATTATCAACTCATTACAAATAAGGCCAATCAAAAAATTACACACAAATAATGCATGCCAAATAAAATAATTTCAATTATTTCATACGAAAGTTATTTATGGTCCAATTATCGTCACTGTCAGGTCCATGCTACACAGTCATCATCACTCGGACTCAACAAGCAGACAGAGTTTTCTAATCGGACGCATCAGGGTTGATGATCCAGTCTTCACTTTGACAACTCGCACAACGTCATCTCTGTCCTTCATCGTCTCGATCACTCGTCCCATAACCCATGAATTCCTTGGAGAGTTGTCCATCACAAGAACAATATCACCTACTTTCATATTTCTTGTTGGTTGTGTCCATTTCTGCCTTTTCTGTAAAAGCTGCAAATATTCATTTTTCCACCTTGCCCAAAATATGTCAGCTAAGTACTGGATTTGACGCCATCGTCGTCTCACATAATTGTCCTTTTTATCGAAAAGTCCAGGGGGAAATCTCTCACCAGGTCGCAAAAGTAGCAAATGATTTGGTGTTAGCGCATCCACATCACGTACATCCTCTGACATTTCTGTAATTGGCCTTCCATTTAGAATTGCTTCAACTTCACAAAAGAGTGTAGAAAGTCCTTCATCACTAATGCGAATATTTTGTTCACACATCACTGAATACAAAACTTTTCTAACAGATCTTATGAGTCTCTCCCATACACCTCCAAAATGTGAAGCAGCTGGCGGATTGAACTCCCATTGGATTTTCTTCTGAAGCATAAATTCATGTATCTGATGCAAGTTCCATCTCTGTATTTCCTCTGACATTTCCTTAGCAGCACCAACCAGATTTGTGCCATTATCTGAACGAATGAATGCTGGTATTCCTCTCCTTGCTATAAATCTTCTAATGGCATTTATGCATGAATCTGTGTCCAGAGAAAAAGCCAATTCAAGATGTATTGCTCTTGTAATTAAACAAGTGAAAATCACACCGTAACGCTTCAGTGTACTTCTCCCTTGCCTCACTTCAAAGGGTCCAAAGAAATCCATTCCAAGCCTGGTAAAGGGGGGTTCATCTGCCTTAAGTCTTTCTTCTGGAAGATCTGCCATCTTTTGTTTTTCACAAACACCTCTGTGTTTCTTGCATATCACACATCTGGATACCAAACTTTTAATCATCACACTTGCACCAATAATCCAATATTTCTGTCTTAAAACACTTAAGATCGAGTTTTTTCCCAAGTGTCCAATGGTTTGATGAGCGTCTTTAATGATGAGACTAGACACTGGAGAATTTTTTGGCAGGATTATTGGGTGTTTAGCATCGAATGACATTTCCGCTCGCTCCAACCTTCCACCGACTCTCAACAGTCCATCATTATCCAAAAATGGGTCCAACTTTCGCAATGGAGATTTGGATCCTATGCTTTTCTGTTTTCCAGAATCGGTCATATTTTTCAAGGCTTCAATTTCCTCGCTAAAATGTTTCTGCTGCACATAATACATTAGAGCTTTTTCTGCTTCAGTCCTCTTTGAAATTGTCAGTTGTAATTTTTTCTTGACTTCTTTTTTGCGTTCCTTTGTCCTGTCCTCTTTGGGCACTTCTTGTTCAGCTTTCACTGCAGATTTTAAGTATTCCTTCACGACGATCAGCCATGCAGTCATCTTGATTAATTTGAACCAGTCTGAACAATAGTGAATTAAGCGTTCAACTCCTTCATGTTGAGTTGTCTCATTTGTACAAACATTCACAGGTCTTCTTACTTCTGGGTCATCACTTGGAATGTTCAAATTTTCACAACACATTGGCCACTCATCTTCATCATTCCATAAGAAGTCTGGTCCTTGTAGCCATTGGTGAGTTTTCAGAAACTTTTCCATGTTCATTCCTCTTGATGCCAGATCAGCTGGATTTTGTTTTGTGTCTACATAACGCCACTGTTCCACTTCAGTTGCTTCATGAATTATCGCTAGACGGTTTGCTATAAAGGTGTGGAAACGTGTCGTTTTGTTGGATATGTATCGAATAACTGTCATGCTATCCGTCCAATAAAATACTTGATGAACAAGGTAGTCCAGTTCTTTCATTATCATTCTACAAAGTTTCACTGCACTTGTAGCTGCGGTCAGTTCTAATCTGGGTACACTCACAGATTTCAGGGGCGCAACTCTTGATTTTCCTAACACAAATGCACAGTGAACATGTCCATCTTCATTCAAAAGTCTGAGGTAAAACACTGCTCCGTACCCAATCTCACTTGCATCAGCAAAACAATGAAGTTGACAGTTGACAATGTTCTTAAAATTCACTGACTTATAGCATCTTGAGACGTTTATTTTCTCTAAATCTGGCAATTGCTGTAGCCAACTATTCCATTTCACTAGCTCCTTAGCAGGAATTTCTTCATCCCAGCTTATCCCCCTTTTACACAAGTTCTGTAATATGGATTTGGCTGTCAAAATAAAGGGAGAAACAATCCCAAGGGGATCATAGACGGAACTAACGATACTTAAAATGCCACGCCTAGTTGCTGGTTGGTTGTTATTGTTCAACTGAAATCCAAGTACGTCATTTTTTATGAACCAATATACACCTAAAGCACGCTCGACTAAACTTTCATCACTTAAGTTCCACTTTTCAACTTCTTGAACTCTGTCTATTTCTGGCACAGATTCTAGGACTTTTTCACTATTGCTGATGAATTTGGTCAAATAAAATCCACCCATCTTGCACAAAGCTGAGACATCCTTAATCAAAGATACAGCATTTTCCTCTGCAGCAACAGAAGTCAAACAATCATCCACATACATATTTCTTTTCACAGTATCTGTTACTATGGGGGCAAACTGTTCTTTGTGCTTTTCTGCAGTTATCTGTAAGGCGTAATTACAACAACTCGGTGATGAAGTTGCTCCAAATAAATGAACTGTCATCCTATACTGTAACGGTTTTTGATCTATAACTCCGTCCTTCCACCAGTAAAAACGTAGGAAATTTCGGTCCTTTTCTGGCACTTTCACTTGGTAGAACATAGATTCGATGTCGCCCAATATTGCAATCTCTTCTTGTCGGAATCGCATCAATACGCCTAGGAGATTATTTGCCAAGTTTGGTCCTTGTAGTAACTGATTGTTCAAAGACACTCCCATGAATTTCGCGGAACAGTCAAATACCACTCTAATTTTATTTGGCTTTTTTGGATGATAAATTCCGTGATGAGGTAAGAACCAAATTCTCCCATCTTCTTCATTTAGTTCATCTTCTGGAACCGGTTCTGCGTAGCCTCTTTGCAATATTTTGTCCATGAACTCTACATAGTGATCCTTAAATTGAGGATTCTTCATAAATTTACATTTTAGTCCTTCTAGCCTCTTCAAACACTGTGCAGAATTGTTTGGTAACACAACATCCTTTCTGCGGAATGGAAGTCCAATATGATAGTGGCCATTTTCAAACTGAATTGAATTCTCTACTTGCTGTAAAAAGTTTTTGTCCTCCAGTGAGTATTCCTTCTTATCATCCACCATTAGCTCAGCCTCTGGAAAGTCAAAGTTCATCATTTGTTTGAAAATATGATCAAGCTGTGTTCCGTCATTTTGAATACACACATGATTCACATCAAAGGTTGTTCTGTTTCTTATTATATTCCAAGGAATCCAGCCTAGTCTGGTTCTAGTTGCATGGGGTGAACCTCTTGGTCCTACTGCCAGCTCAAATGGTGTGTAGGCATCTGGAACGTTGTTGCCGATCAGAATCCCAATGTTTGCATTGACCTCTGGAAATGGAATTGACTGCAAGTGAGACCACTTTCTAATTTCTTCTTTTGTTGGGATCTCTTGATTGGAAACCGGCATCTGTTTTTTTGTGTATACCTTAGGGAGATCAATAAAGTGTTCTGCGGTGAGTCCTGATACTTGTAATCCATTCATCACATAAGTATTTAATTTCTGAGTGTCTCCCATAGTATTGATAGTAATCTGTGTCTTTTTACCATGTGCTCCAAGCTGGTACATGATATCCTCCGTGCAAAATGATACGCTACTACCAGAGTCGAAAAATGCGTACGTCTCCACAGTGTAAGGTTTGTTCTTGAGTTTTACACGTACAGGTATGATGGCCATTGCACATGATATATCCTCAGTTTCTTCATGACATCCAGAAGAAATTGCATTAACACTTGGCTTGGAATCATCTTTGCTAAATGCACTGCTTTCAAGCTGTTTCCCACACACAGACGCCTCTTCAGCTAACTGATTGTTCTTGACTCTTTGATCCTCATTATGGAGGATAGTTGGATGTTGTCGCGAACACTCTGTACACTTAAGCCTTTTCCTACACTGACTACTAAGGTGTCCTTGCTTTAAGCATCCAAAACACAGTCCTTTTCTTCTAAGGTACACAATTCTATCATCCCTGTTTAGTTCCAAAATCTTCCTACATCTGTCTATTGTGTGATTAACACTATTGCAATAAACACATTTCTGCGTAGAGTATAACTTGGTTACTTCACAAGATACTCCCTTTGTTTTCTGTTGTGAGCTCGAGCCTCTTACTTGCTGAAATCCATATGTTGGATCATTCACCTTCTTAGCTTCCGCCTTTACAAAGTCCACAAAGTCTTTAAACTTAACTGTCCTATGAGCATCTTTTATTCGTAACACTACGTTTCTCCAGCGGTCATGTAAATGTACTGGTAATTTGCTCATAAGTCTCTTAATGTTTTCAGAATATTCCAAGACTCTTCCTGCATCAATACTCTCTGCACCATTCAAGCATTCAACAAGAAAGAGAGCGAATTCATCTAGGGATCTTACGTCTCCAGGTCGAATAGAAGGCCATTCCAAAGCTTTCCTAATAAAGGCTGTTGCTATGACGTCGGTGTCTCCATAACGCTCTTCCAACTGTCTCATGGCTGCTTCAAATGCTCTTTCTCCAGATAGATGACTGTATCCAGAGACCACTTTATTAGCTTCACCAAAAGTTAGCTGCTCTAAATAGTTCATTTTCTCGTCATCGTTATCACAGTTTATCACAACCTTAGCATTAAACTGACGTAAGAATTTCCTGTAATCCAGAGGATTGCCACCAAACTTCTTTATTTCTGGTGTTGGTTTTCTCAAATGTTTCACCACAGCTTGAACTGATGCAGATGAACTTGGAAATTCTCCCCTTTCATAACTCATGGGATAAAATGTTTCTGCATTTGGGTTGAGTCTTAATGGTCCAAGTGTGGGTCTGTCTGTATCGCGGTATCTAAATGGTTCTGGTGGTTTTTCTCCTCTATGTCTGTCTGTCTCTCGGTATCTGAATGGTTCTGGTGGTTTTTCTCCTCTATGTCTGTCTGTCTCTCGATATCTGAATGTTTCTGGTGCTCTATATGCTCTTGTATCTGTGTGTACTTGTTCAAATTCACTTTGTTCAAATTTATCAAACACTTTAGTTTTTGCCTTAGCCATCGCAATGTTTGTTTCTATTTCGAGCTCTTCTTCTTCCATCTTGAGTGCCACTTTTGCTAACTCTATCTCTTTCTTCTTCTTTAAGGATTCTTTCTTTGCTTCAAGCTCAGCCCTTTTTTCTTCTTCTGCCAACTTACGAGAAGATACAACACTAACAGAAGAAAATTGTCCACGACCAAAAGATCTGTCTTCACCATCTTCATGTAATAATTTAGTTTCTTGGTCTTTTATCTTTGCTTGCGACGCAAAATATTCTTGAAGCGAAGTCTTAAAGTTCTGTAAAAATGTTTCTCTTTCGTCGTATCCTTTCAGATATTCAGCTAAGTCGGTTTGATTTAACTTCCTTGAATGGTCATAATGACGATCGAGAAAATCATCGTAGGAGTCCATCCAATCTCTATACTTCTGTCTTATCATCTCTTCTGGTTCCCGATTATTCACCATTCCCGTTATTCTTGTACATAGTGACTTAAGACTACTAAAGGATTTCTCAATTTGTTGCTCACTATAAATTCGTCCTTTTTCAGTGAGTTTTCTAATTCGAGCTCCATTTTCACTGTGAGTCTCCTCAATGTTCTCCTGTTCCTCGTTCTGCTCACTGATCTCCTGCTTTTCCTTTGGCTGTTCTTTAGTTTCTGGATCCTGTTTATCAGCCATCCTTCTGATGATTCTGTCCAAATTTGTCCAAATTTGTCAATATTGTAGCCTTCCAAGTTTATACCAGTAAAAAAGTCATATTCACACCGATTCTAAATTTTAATCCGAAGATTCCAACATGTCATATCGATGAGTTTGACTACAAAAAACAATGAAATAACAATATAATGCATGCGTACTATACATGAGTTATTTTTCCTGAATTATACATAAATATCTTTACTATAATTCCTATAATTCCTGTATTATAAATTCTGAAGTTCTAATAAGATTTGAAAGATAAAAATATACAAAATAGCAAGATTGAGTATTACTTTCGTTACGTACTGTACATTGTGAACACATGGGTATGTTTACACTTCAATATTCAAAGTTATGCAAAATAAAGTAAAAATACTTATGCAAAATATACTCAAGACATTGTTTAAATTAAATAAATACATACCAAATTTGTTAGACACTGGTATACTAGTCGTACAGAATAACAAACAATAGGCTACAAAAAATCGTGCCTTCCATGATTCGACTTCCGAGATGTACAAAGAAAAACCGTAGCTAGGTAAACCGTAAAATTCCGGTGTTGCAAAAATATAGTAATTTACAGTATTCTTACATTAGTGAGAGGACAGCATCCATATTCCCCTGTCTCCTGGACACAACAGGTGCTCCCGTCCGGACAGAAGGACTTCCCGTCCTGACACGGAGTCCCGGGAACGGCGGGATTCTCCCTGGGACGGAAATAAAGTGTATCACAGTGGACGACCGCCACAACCAATGGTAGGAGTAGAAAGCCGCGCATCTAAAAATATATAAACATGATAGATAAGTATAGATAGTAAGAGGTGATAGTTTTTCAGGAAGGAGTGAATTTTAAACGTTAAAAGATCACCTTGTCCTGACTTGTGTCAATTCTAATTACTGGATATCTTGAGAGATAATTCGGTCATGAGATGAGAATCCCGTGGTATTATCAATTTGATTTGACCTAGTTATGTTTGTAAAGTCATATAAGTTATCAAATACATACCTTTTACATATCATGTATATAACACCTGAGATAACATTACAGTAAAGTTATAAATGATATCTAGATACTTGAATGCTTTGTGATAGTTAAGAAACTGATGTATGAACCAGTTACCACGTCCCCCCTTCATTTTTTTACAAACATACACCACCACCCCACCCCCACCCAGCTTTTGGCACAGTTAATAATATTTCCAGATGGAACTTTTAACTTGATGGGACCAAGAAAAAAACTAAAAGTTATCTAAAGATTCGATAAATTGCAGAAAAAATACTTTAAAAAACATAATTAGTAGGAAGTTTTCCGAATTACTTTGACATATCCACTGTACAGTGTATCAGAGGTATCAGTGCTCAAGTTAGAAGACATGAAAGTTCAAATGCATGCACACTTCTATACTTGCTAAATATGGAACTGTAAGGGTGTTGGAGATATAATGTACCAAAGTTCAATTACATGCACTTTTTGAACATGCTATTTCTAGAACCGTAGCAGTGTTGAAGATATAAGATACCAAAGTTCACCTGCATATATAAACTTTTCTAAAAATGCTTAATATTGAAGCTGTAGCTTTCTTTTTGTCCATCTTATCTAATAAGACCAAAGAGCTTTGCAGCTCATCTCTGACAGGATTGCTTCAGACATCCATACCGGGTTTTAATCAAACTGACACTGAGACCAGCTGGAGACATATAGAAGACTACATAAAAAATATAAAATATTTGTGCATAAATCTTAAATCTTCCTTGTTTTATAAATACATACGTCTTTATCTGTTGTTGCAGCATTTAAATAACATTCCACATCAGGGTTTTACGGAAAAAGTAAAATGAAAGTACAAATGCAGCGCTTTGTTCTTGGAAAGTAAACAGATAACATGCTATAAAAAAAATAATTGTCTTTTTCGCCCTGTAACATGGAAAAAAATAATGACAAACCCGTTACCTTGTGTCCTTAGCTCTTGTCAACTACCATATGAAAAATAAACCTCAAAATCAAATACAAGTCACATGAGATGCAGTCAGGTGGGCAAAGCAAAACGACCAAATGTGTTTACTTACACGACATTTCATTGGATATCACACCTAAAGCGGTGGAGATATGTTTCGTTCCTCTATCATTTAAACCCTTAATCCCTTTTGATTATTTTATCCCTGAAATAAAATAAAATTATATCGTACGGTATAAATAGAATGAAACTATACGTACTGAATTAAAACACCGGTATATATAGTACAGCCTGTAGGAACTGAAAAGAGAGGGAGGGGGGGGGGCGTACGGTGACTACATATTTATTAGCTCACCTGACTTGATTTAAAGTTCATTTGAGTTTCTTTCTGATCACATTCCGTCCGCCTGTCCGTCTAGCTGTCTGCCCGTCTAGCTGTAAACTTTTCTCATTTTGGACATCTCCAGAACCTCTGGGCCAATTTCAACTAAACTTGCCACTATAGAAGTCCTTTAATTAGTCAAGCCTGTTTATACGTTTAAGGGCCATGTCCTAATTCAAGGGGAGATAATTAGTTCTAAAATAGTGAAATTTTAGTGGCTTGTTTTGAAAATCTTCTTTTCAGTAATCATAAGGCAAAAAAAAAACTTGACACAATTACAGGAAACCTTCTTTACATAGTGTAGATTCAAGTTTTTTTTCTAAATCATAACCCCCGGGCTAGGATGGGGACCAAAGTTTTATACATAGGAATATCAGCTGAATATATAGAAAAAAAATCTACATAGAAATATCAGCTGAATATATAGAAAAAAAATCTTTATAAGTGGATCTTCTTTTTAGCAAAGTCCTATTTATTTATATTGATATGAATTTAAACCAGTTATATTCAAGCTGTGCATTATCTGTGACTATTAAGACGTTTCTGAAAATGCTAACGATTTCACCCCTATGACCTTGAAGTTTGATCTAAAATTTAAACAACAATGACATTAAGTTTGTCTTTTTCATTTTTATATTTTACAATGGTAATTACTTTTAAATGAGAGAAAATACTAGATCTTTTATACTTTAAATTTACATTACCTATGGCAATTATCTT